AAATCTAGATAAATATCCTGTTAAATACCATCCTGTAATCTATTATGATGTCTTCTGTGCAAAGTGTTTCTACTGTCAGGTACGTTATGAGGTACAGCTCTTCCTCTGTGTGATATCAGTGGTAAATACAACCTTTCAAATTACATTTATAATTTTGTGTACTGGACTGTTTTATTACAGTTGATCACAGGCTTATCAGCTACCCTAAGAAATGAATTTTACCTTTTTTTTCCTGCTTACAGGTTATCCATGCACATTTCACCGCTCTTCCACATTTTTGTTCCATTAAGTCATTCCATTTAATAGAGCTAGCTTTCCTCCACACTGCAGAAAAGGAGAGATGGTGCCTGGAGCTTGCCAAGCTCATATTTTCTGCAATATTTTGACATTTCCTGTTTGTGTTCAGGTGATTAGTTCTAACTCGCCACATTTTTTCTGAACTTAGGTTCAGAAGTACCTGAGTTCAGGTTCTGAGTAACGTAAACTAATATTTTCACAAAAGTTTGAAAGCAAGTTTTTTGGGTTTTCCTCCTCCAGATCTACACAGAGAGCAATCAGCTGTACAAGAAAATAAAAAATCCAAGGACGGCTTCGATTAATTATAGAACAACATTTCAGTACTTCAGTGTAACTTTGAACGAGGCAGTAAAATAAGATAAAGAGAAATAAGATAAAGAGTTTCAAATTCAATCCAAGTCAAAGCGCCCCACAACAGAACTGTAACAGTCAAATAAAAGCAAAGAAGCCATAGCAGAAAGACTACAGTGATTGCAAATATCATAAAAGATATTTATAGAAATTGCACGGGATTGTAGAGTTATTCCTGGTAACTCTGGGCTTATTTTTATCTTACCATAATCTTGAAGAACCAATTCCCACCCTGTGGTGTGCTTGTTGAGCCAAATGCTGTCCCTTCACTCATTGCTTCAACACTGAAATAGAACTAAAAATTTCTACAACCTCTATTTTCTGATTCAGCCAATGGTTTTTAAACTGTATATTATATATTTGGCCTCTATGGAAACTATGAAAATCCAACTACTTTTCAGGAGACTTAGCAAGGCACATTCTGTTAGAATGAAATTAACTTCAGGAACATAGAACACTTAATGAATACTTAAAAAATAAGTACTTTTGTTATAAGAGTATCCTGAGAAGATTATTAGAAGAATCATGGATGTATATTTTCATGCTGTATATGTGTTTTTATTTCATTTTTACATTGTTTTATGCAAACTAAAATTGGGTACTGTCGATTTATTTTTACATTGGTTACTTAATTGTTCTCACTAGTTCTCAGTTGAGAAATGCACATAAGATCCATTCAGTAATGAATCAAGTGGTAATAGAGGAAAATAACTCAGAAGTGGGGATAAATCAGAAGTCCCAAATAAGCTTTGTGATTCTAGGGGAAGATGCTGCTAAGGCTTCAGGACAGGCAAAGATTGGATGAAATAGAGCAGGGTAGAGATAAGGTAGAGATAGGAAGCTTGCAACCTTACCCAAAGCTCACTGAAATGAATGGAAGTACCATTGATTCTAAAATTCAGGTATTTTGAAGTTCTGTAAGAACACAGGGCAGAGTAAGTGGAGCAATCAGTCTGCAGATTGATTCTATCCCACTCCGTGTCCCCCTTTTGAAGACAAGGTTCTCATACTTTTGGGATCTTGGTTGTTGTCTGCTTACTACAGAAACTCTCTTCAGTTGGTAAAACAAAGGAAAACAAGCAGAATCTTTTAAGCCCACATAGAAGGATTTTCCTTTATTAAGTACTACTCTCAACAATCCTTCTTGATTTCCAAAAGCTTCTGATGTGCTTTCCTCTCCCTTATTTTTACCGAAAATAATTCTGTTTGAAATGATCAGGTCAGAAACGATCTTTCTATTGTTCCTAGGGAGAGAATGAGCTATGCCTCCCCATGTCAGTCAGCTTAAGGTAAATATTTTTTCCTCAAAGCAGAGCTCCACCAAGCATTAAGATAATAATTTGAGGGATCTGACTTAACAATCCCCATAGAGATTACTCTATCAAAGGAGTATTTCCACCTCAATAAAAAATCTGATTTAGATATCTGTTTTTGTTGATGTGCACAAAACAGCGTGGAGGTGTAATGATCAGAAGAAAAAGACAAGAAAAGCAGATTAATGAAAGATTACATTTGAATATTTGCACATTGTCTAAAAAGAATCTTATCAATGAATGAAGCCATTCCTTAATGGCTTCAACAAGCCCACACTGATTGTTTTACAAAAACTGATGCACCTTGAAATTTCATTTTCATTACACAGAATTTCATTTCCATTGCATAGAATTGTATTGCTCAGAAAATATAATCCCATGTCAAAAAAACATTTTTTTACAACTAAAATAACAAAGATCATAGGTTACCAAATTTGTCTCACTGAAGCAGATTTCATTCTCGGAAGAATGTTGGCATTGTGGTACATTCAAATATCAGGATAAATTGATAATAGAACAATTTAAGAAAGGAGAACAAGAGAAATCAGACTATCACTTGAGATCTTTAAATCAAGATGGGATGAATGGGGTGGTGCTCCATTTATACGCTTCTGAAACAGTTAATTCAATGAGGGATTTATTGGGAATGTTTTATGACTGTTTCAAAAAGTGGGATTTTAAAACAGAAAGAACATGACAATCAATTCTATTAATTCATAAAACACATAGAGCATATTTTTACTGTTGTTTTTTAATACCTAGACTGGGATTTGAGAAGTCATATATTCCCAGCAAACTACTGAATTCAAAATAGAGCACATTTTAAACAGTTTAGATTCTGTAACGATTGGTCCAGGATGCATTTAATTGATTGAAAGTATTTTGCAATAGTAGCATGAAAAATCTCAAGAAAATACATAGGCAACCTATGCCTTAACATGAACCCGTTAAAATTCTCTTCAAATAATTCTTCAAAGAATTTTTTTTCTGTGTTTTAGACCCCATACTGCAGAACGCAGAAAGCCATTAAATTGTTGCCTATCACATGAATTCATTAATTCTGTTCTTTTAATGATGTAAACATATTAATTAGGAAAAAGCCCACTCCGGGAGATGAACCCCTGATCTATATGCACAGTTTAATAATCATTGTACCATGGTGATTAGAATGATTATTGGGATACTGTGAAGAATTCATTTGCGACAACTAAGCCAACAACTTTGCATGTGTTTTGAAAAACAATTATAGAGCTTAATTGGGAGCCATGTAATGATGACAGCAGTTATTTCAGTGATTGATTCAGAAATTAAAGAGAAATGGCAAACTAAATACCAGAATATCCCATCTTAGAGAACTGAAAACATAGAGAGCATGCATTGTATGCAAATTCTGAAATGCTGCAAAATCCTCCCACTGCTTTATAAAAGAGGCACACGGAGGGGCACTGGCTGAGATTTTTCTCTTCTTGGGGAGAAAAAGAAAGAAATAAAAGCAGACACAAATAAAAGAAACCAAAAAAGCAACAATAATCCAGGCCAACTAGGGGAAAACATTAACAAACAAACAAACAAACAAAGGAATAAGAAGTTGTACACAAGGGTAAAAAATCAGCTGCAGTTGGTAGAAAGAATTACCCATATTCCAATACTGCTTCTAAATTTCTTAATGCACTCATGAAAGAGGAAGCAGTAATTGGCAGACCTGAAAAATTGTTTAATTGGAATTTGTTCATTTAGAATTTGTTTTGTTAGAATTTGTAAACAGAAGACAACTGATTTCCCATTTTAATCAGTTATTTTTTTGTCTTTGAAAACAAGTGCCCAATTCAGAGGTCAAGATCTTTGCTTCCTCTACACAAGTTCATCAGGATTGCCATTGGAACACAGCAGTGCTTTTCCATCTGATGAAGTGGCCACCTGCACAGTCTGACTGTGTTGAGAAAGGTCTCTGATTGCGAGGAGCAAAGCACTGTGCTGTGTACCCAGGTCAGATCTTCCACCACTATAGTTATAATGCAAGTTTGCTTCAAGTTGTTAACTGTGCAGACAAGTCTGCCATGCTTCCCTGTCTGTATGTAAATTCATCTCTGTACAGAAAAAGAAATAAACACACATTTTTTCCACTATGATCCTTCTGACAGGTAACTAGGAGACAATTCTGCTCCTCTATGGACACTTCTGTGGTCTTTGCATCCTACAGAGGGGCCAGCATCACACTCTTGTAGGCCAACAGCACTGACACGGGCTGAAGACATGCTATCAAATTAGGATTAAAAAATACTTGGTTATGGAGCATTAGGGCTGCTCACAACATAAAACGTGGCACAAACATGCTCAAAGCTTGCAGACCTCAGTGACTGAGGACCTTTATTTTTCCTTTGGGCAAAGAGAGGTCAGCCCTTACAGAAATAATGGTAAAGCCACATTTTTTTAATAAACGGATAATTATTTTCTTTGTAAGATAATCATTTTTACATTTGTAATGTTGCAGACACCATCCATTTTCTACTTAACGCTGAGACAAATCAAGTTTTGTAATCATCATTAAACTATCCATCTTAAATTTGCAGCAAGAAAACTTCTGCTTGTTTTCCTCTGTGCTCTGAAGTGTAATCCTTCCTGACTTATATCTCCACATCGTTTCTGTAACCAAATTTATGACATCATTTGTAAAGACCATAAAACATATTTGGGTACCACTTATGTCCTAAAAAATATGGTAGCTTCAGTGAAGGAATATGCCATAATATCAGTCTGATGGGTAACTTAGTTTCTATAATTGAGTTATAATTACTTTTTGTAGACATTTGGATGAACACTGGTGACTAGCACAAAAGCAGTAAAGATTTTTTCTCAAAGGACAGAATTATTGACATGATCAAGATTGATATAAGCAGCAGTCTTGTGTGAAAAATGATATAATTTTCTGATATTTAACTACATTTTTATCATTACAGGTGTGCTACAGCACGCTACTTAAGATAAATATGAATAGGCTCTGTAAATTATAAGCATAATTTGATTTTTTTCCCCTCAAAGGTGGAAGCAAAATGGCACAGATATTGATCTTACCATGAGTTATCACTACAGGTTGGTTGGAGGCAGCTTGGCAATCAATAACCCACGTAAAAAACAGGATATTGGAACATACCAGTGTTTGGCCACAAATTCATTTGGAACAATTCTGAGCAGGAAGGCAAAGCTTGAATTTGCATGTAAGTTGGGAAGATCATATTTATTAGAGCATTATTAATTTTGTGCATGAATGGTAATATATTGGATAATTAAAGAATCGTTGATGATTCTGTTCAAAAGGTTTGGCCTAGTTCAGCAGTGCTTATTCTTTAAAAAAATCATTTCTAGTAAATGTTATTAACAAAACCAGACATCTGATGGCTGCTAGCCCTCAGGAACAAGAGTAACTTTTAGAAAATTGAAAGCTAAAGAAAGATGAATGCAGTTATTTTCACTTAGAGGTGTTCCCACTTTTTTAAGACTGGTTTCTGTGCTGCATTGCAGGTAAGAACAGTTGTGTGGGGGGAATGTGTCTGAAAGCTAGGCTGAGCATGAGGAGGTCCATAAGGAAGGGTACAAAACACTGTTCCCCTAATTGCCACACTGACATTTTGTTGTATTAACAGAGTAGGATTCTTTCCCCTTCCACCGCATGCAAAGTGATGCTGCTAGGCTCTGCAGCGTGTCGTATTTCAGCTCAGTTGGACAGAGCACGTATGCTGTCTTGAGCCAGTTTACATCTTATTTCAGCCTTGCTCCCCATTTCACTTCCTCACAATTTCACAACCTTTTCTGCACCGCTTACGTGTGGTGACTGAGTTGTGTTGATGCCCTGGGGAAACAAAGCTAAAGAAAACAACAAATAAATAAATAAATAACCCACCTCTGAAAAAAACGGATATTGCTTCCACTCCGATTTCTTCAGTATCAAAGTCTGAGCTATCTGTTGCTGGGAGAAAGCAATTGTTTTCAACCTCATTAATAAAACATGTGCCGAAAGCCAACCTTGTGCCGCTATTTCAGACACCAGAAAATGTATTAATTATTAATCTTCTTCCATTACTCATAGCAAATCTCGTGTCACAGGGGTTATACAAAGGAGACATTAGAGGTCAGGATGGTTCACAGACTCTCTTTTGGTAGAGCAGATCAAATGGTATATCACTAGAGTCTTGTTTAATAATGTTTTACCCTGAATTTCTCAAAGAGCTTTTGATTCCCAGAAGCTGGTCAGATGGAAAGCAAAATTTTGATTCATTACTTTTTCCACTTTTTCTGAAGCATCTTTGTAAGCCACTTCTCTATATGGGAAATGATTTTGAGGCTTGAAGATAAGAAGTGTTTAGTGACAGAACAAATCCTGTTTTAGTTCTAAAGAAGAATGGGTGGCCTCAGGATTAACTGTAGAATCTGTAACCCACAAGGAAACATGAGAGGTCAGGAAGGAGTGGGGAAAAGACTTAAAGAGAAGGAACACCTTCACATGAAGACTCAAAGGACAAAAAAAAAAAAAAAGAAAGAAATCTTAAAAAAAAAAAAAAGGAATATCCAGGAAAAGTGGAAGATGAAAAGGCTCTGGTCATTGGTCAGCATCTCACATTCCTCACTAATTTCCAAAGTTCTTTTGGAAAAATCTGTCCCTGACTCAAACTCCTAGAAGCACTTTGGTTTGCCTGTGGATTTCTAGCCACCCTGAGGCAAAGTGTATTCCAACATCATTCAATCAATGCTCCTGAGCAACTAGAGAAACTCTTTGCTAGAAAATGGACTTTGTCAGTGGCCTTAAGTATTTTCAGCTGTTAAAGACAACTTCTTTAATAGTCCATGCTGGTGAAGCATTCCCTCTGAAGCACATAACTCCCTACTATCTCAGTGTCTCAAGCCAATACAGGACAGTCAGATGGGCTAAATATCAAGCAGTTCCTTTTCTTAGGCTCCATGTTCCCACCAAGACTCTTCCCAAAGTTACTGCAGGGAGCAGTTCACAACAAAATGGGGTCTCATTTGTCCATGGCAGCAGACAAAACTACAGCTCCCATCCTGCTTTGATCCTCTAGCTGCATAGCAGTAAAAATATCCCATTTCCAAGAAGGATGTAATTTTTCCATTGCCAGAAACAGAAGTGTTCATCCTTTCCCATATCAAAGAAATAGGACAGATAAATTAAAATGCCATTTACATTTGCAAACCAAAGTATACAGAAAAATGCTTCAGTTCAGTGATACCACTTTGAAAGTATGAGTCTTTATATGTCTTACAAGAGAAAAAAGAACACAGTACATAGAAAATGCTAAAATGACCTGATAACAATAATAGTGGAACGAATTACCTTGTAACAGTTACTTCACAGTTAACATTTCCCTGTTTCTTATTTTCATGTTGACATCCAATTTACATGTTTGCTTCACCCAGTACTACAGATTACATCTTAAAACCTGGGCAGGCAGGCATGTTGTTGTTATGACACTTCCATTCAGTACCAAACAAAATGGGACTCTTCCTTGAATGGGACTGGCATGTTACAGCAGTCACCATGATAAATAATTGAATCAAGCCTATTATCTGGGTAACAGCATTTATGCATTTGTCTTCTCAGTACAAGGTAACTTTGAGTTGGAGTTTGAATTAATGATACCTTTGGAAACCTATTGTACATCTCAATATGTGAAAAATACTTTTTCCTTTCTTCAAGATAGCAAGCTCTCTGAGAAGCAAAATAAATGCTGTATGAGATTAGAAATACGTCTTCAGATTCAGCTAGAGTTTCATGCTTATCCTCTATTAAAAACAGAGCTGTCAAATGAAAGCTGCAGGAGGAATATTGTACAGAAGGAAGTGGCATAGATTATTAAAGCTACAGGCTGAAAATGAGAGACAGCACCAGCGAGAGAGAGCAGAGCAGGAGCACATAAATGCATTTGCAGGATGCATAGCATGGCAGCCCTGTGTTATTCGTACTTCCCGGTGAAGGTTTGTTTTGTCATAAATAAAGTTGAAAGCTCCCTATAAATCCTGTGCATCTCCAGCTACCCAAGCAGTACATTTTGAAAAGCTAAATGTGTGTCCTGCAAGCAGTGAAGTTGGTGATTTAGATCTGCAGGCTGGATAAGAAACATGGATGTCAAAGCCCAGTTTGTGAAGCCAGAGCCGGGCAGGCACTGAAGCCTCCCCCAGATGTGCTCCCAAGTCACAACCACCACCTGCACTGTGCTTTTCCATCTCCACACTTGTAACTGGAATCCAACACAAGGGCACCAGTGGAGCTTCAACTCAGAGTAAAAGAGAGGGCGAAGACAACCAAGCTGTACCTGCATGTATACTGATGACAGCATAAATCTGTTCTTATTTATGTAGGTCTTCTAAATTGCATTTCACACCTTAATAAAAAGACAAACAAACCTGTTACAGAGAACTGCTTAAATACTGCTGCAACCAGAATTGTATTGCAGGCACACAGGGGATTTGTTTTAATTATTTCATCAGTTTTAAGTAAAAGTAACTGTATGCAAGCAATTGGTCTTGAGGGAAATCTCCATAACTAGTTGCAGTGAAACAGACAGTCCTGGCCAGTTAGTAACTCTTTTAGTTCTCATATGTGTCTGTGATAGAGACATTAAGAGATGGATAGCAGGAGTAAGAAGTGCAATTGAACAAACTAGAAAAACTGTACTCTCCCATGAGAAAGAATCGTATGTGAACCTGATCCATAAGTATTCCAGACATAAGCCCAGAAAACTCAGTACTTATTGAAAACATTTGGTTGGCTGGGGATCTTAAATGAGATTCTCGGTCCCATTGTTCTAGTATTGCTGGTAGGCTGTTGTGATGATTGCAGCTTTCTCAGACCTCAGGTCTCATTAATTAAACATGAATTCTGAGAAACAATGACAACAATTTAAATTCATGAATAGGTTTAGTCATTTTGTCCTGAATAACACAGGACAGTAGACCTCTTATAAACATTTTTTTTTTCCCAGTGCTATGGAGTAAGGAAGGATTGTTCCTTGACATTTTTGGGATGCAGTCATACTGTCGTGGCTTTCAGTGGAGCGGTCAGGGGTTTTGCTTTTGCCTTTTTCTAAGTAGTGTTTTTCTAAGAACATACATCCTCCCTCCTCTTGGCCAGTGAGGACAATGTTCAGGGCAGCATGAATGAGAGTGATGGTTTTGGAGCACTTGGAAGAAACCTGGAGATCCCAAGTGCCTTTTATCAGATAGACAAATGATGACACGGTTTTGCTGAAATCACAAATTGAAGAGGCAATAATTCCTCCTGGACAGAGTATTTCCATTCTGAGAAGAAAAATAATAATCTGTTGGTAGTATTTAACCATTTTAGGGGAAAGATTAAAAGCAATCAAGTCCGTTTAGTCTTTGCTAGATTGTGACAGTCTGAAGCATTTGCAAAGCCGTTTTAGAGTGACTGTCTGTGAGATGCTCAGCTAGCATGAAAGCCCACTTTTCATCTGATTACTTCATCATGTTATTTACCTTTGACTGCACACAAATTACACAAACATCGCAAAGCAATACAGCATGTCTCAAAATGTCATAACCCTTTTTACTTGTAGCATATGCTTTGAAATAGAAAATGGAAAAATCAATGCACTTAAATCAGATCAGATAGTCTGAATTTGCAAAGTCTGCACAAGCATGGATTCTAGTCTAAATAGCACACACTATTCTGCATTGGCTGTACCTCAGTATTGTGTGTGCCCAGAAATCCCCCTGTAACAACTGTATTTGATTAGAAGGTGTGCAAGATGTTGTAACTACCACCCTGAGCAAAGCTGTCTCAATCCTTAAGCTGAGTGTTAATTCATCAGCCCAAGCAGGGCTGCCATGCTGATGGGGCTGCCTCGCAGCTCGTGCTGAACAGTGAGCACTGCAACTTCTTTCTGATTCAGAAGGAGCTGTGTGCTCCTCAACGTAGCACTGAGAAGTGGGGCAGGGATGGCAAACTGCTCACTGAACAACTTCTTCCTGATGTACTGCGTTCCCCTGTCCTCTCTAGGGACACCCCAAAAGCCAAGTAATACAACTTACCTCTCAGTCTTGAAAGTCTGCCTTACACATACTGCAGAAACACATCTTGACTTGCAGATGTGTGGACAGAGAGAGAGCAGTGGTTCACCCAGCCCTCCCAATGGCCCTGGCAACACCACACAATCCGCATCTTTCTGTGGGCAGGTGAGAATAA